CACCCACCCACCTGCCAGCCTGCTTGTGAGCCGCTCGGGACTTGCAATGTCTCCATTGACTTTGCTTGTGGGAGGCTGACAGGAAGTCGCAAGCTGCGGTCATGTGAGGTCCTCACTTAACAACCTGTGATCATGGGGACTACTGGCATTGCCGTCACTAAGCGATGCAATCATGTGAGGTTGCGCTTTACAACCGCAACACTTAGCGATGGAAGTTCCGGTCCCAATTGCCGTTGTTAAGTGAGGACTACCTGTATGTCTTCCTGTGCCAGGATTTTAAGCTCTCCCCGTTTGTTTCCATTGTCTCCGCACTGGCGTCCTCCTGGCTTTGCCCCTGTGGCGCCCTGCCGATCTCCAAGCCCCACTTCCGTCTCTCGCGCTTCTCTCTCTGTCTCTTGCACTGCTGGCCCCAGCTCTGGGTTTTGCTGCCCTCCTCCTTTGAAAAGCCCCTCGGATGAGATGGGCGTGGCAACTGCCATTCATGTCCTTCCCAGTCTTCCTGAGACGTGGCCGCTCTCTTGCCAGGACTGCCTTGTGCAGGTCGCGCAGGGAGGAATCCAGACCCGCTCTGCCCAGTCTACATACGCACCCAGTGGGTGACCTGCATCGTGTCCCTCAACTGGGAGGCCTGACGGAAGCCTGGCTTGCAGTGCCGGAATCCTTGGGGGGATGATGGTGGGTGGGTTTGAAGAGCCCCGGCAACCTGCCCGTCACACCCTAGACCCCACCCCTCCCACAGCACCCTGTCAAGCCTGCACACTGGGGCCTGGGTTCCTCACTGCAGGGAGCTACCACCTCTTCCCCCTCCTTTTCCCTTGTTTACTGTTTGACTTCGTAGAGTGCAAATCATACTTTTCCTAAAAAAGGATAACGGAGAGAGTAGAAGAGAATCATTCTCATTCAGAAGTTTGGAGAAGGGAAACAATTTCTGTCCCAATTGTTCATCTCTCTATTTTTTGATCACCTGGAATTTAGACACATCAGAGCATCAGAAAGGCCCTGCTGGGTACAGCTAAGGATGTAGATAATCTGATCAGTTCAACAAAGAGAAAGGTACAGGACTTTGTAGGATTGGGGTTTTGATTATCAGTAGGAAGCATGTCAAACTGAATGGAGGTTCCAAACCTTTTTCAAATCAGCTATACGTAAACATTTATTCTGAAGCATGTCAGATATTACCAAGCAAGAACATTACAATATTTGGAGTACCCCCATAATTTTCAAGGAATCTCTTCAATATTGTACAAAACTCTAATATTGAACACAACAGTTTTTCTTTGAAGTCTATGCTACTATACGTGCGTGTTAATCGAAGTCTTTCTAGATTGTGTTGCTGAAGTTATGAGCACGCTGGTGGGTGTTAACCTTTCCATCAGCAGCGTCTCTTTCATTCCTCATTTTGATTGAGGGTCTTTAAGGAAATTGGAGAAATTAGACTGCAACATTTAGTAATTAATTCTATGGTGACTTTATTGTCCATTTCCCCACCCCCCAAATTTATAAAATGATGCAGCGTAAGAAATTAAATAAATTTCTGTTATTTATTGCCAGAGGTACCATAGCAAAACGTCAGAAAATTAATTCTCTAGATTCAATAAAAATTTGAAAGTGTGAGAATCATCACTGACAGAAAAATTAATGTAATAGGAATTAATCCTTTTAAGGGCTGTTCTAATTACATCTAGCTCAATTTTTAAAGGCATCCGATTGATATGTGCCACCAAGTCAGTGCTGACTCTTAGCAACCACATAGATCTTCTCCACGTTGATCCGTCCCTAACCTGGACCTTCAGGTCTCCCAATGGTGCCCCCATCAGTGCTGTAATAAGTCCATCCGTCTTGCTGACGGCCATCCTCTTCTTCTCTTCCTTTCCACCTTTCCTTTCCCTGCATTAGAGCTTTCTCCAAAGTGTCTGAAGGACGACAATTTGAGCCTGGTCATTTGTGCCCCAAGTGATAACTCTGGGTTGGTTGCTCGATGATCCATCGGTTTGTTTTCTTGGCTGCCCACAGTCCTCTCAGGAGTCTTCTCCAACATCAGAGCGTCAATGTTCTTCCTCTCCTGCTTCTTCAAAGTCCAACTTTCGCTTCCATGGAGCGTCACAGGGAAGACTGTGGCTTGCATAGTGATGGCATCTGAATATCTTCTCCAAGGCCTTCATGGCCGAGCGCTCGTTTGCAGCATGCTTCTTGACTGCTTGTTCTTTACTGTGGATAGTCAATCCTAAAAGGCAGAAATTCTCCACCACTTCAATATCTTCATTGTCAGTTTTAAGGCTGGTTGTTCTACCTGTTGCCCTTAGTTTTGTCTTCTTTATATTTAACTTTAGCCCCATTTTTTGGCTGTGCTCCTTGACTTTTATTACTAGAGCCTGCAGATCAGTTGCATTTTTTGCTATCGGGGTAGTGACATCAGCACAGCACGGGCTATTGATGTTCCTTCCTCTAATTTTTAAAACCATACACAGGTTACTTTATTTATACTTCCAAATAAAGAGTTTTAAAACTCTTTGGTTCTCTCTCCCTCTGTTTGCTTGCAATACTATATTCTTCTGTTTTCCCTTTTCAACGTTTTGCTGATGAATAGTTTTCAATGGCTTTCACTTTATCTCTCTGGACAGCAGCACATCAGCCACCTCACGGCTCGCTTCCAACTCCAAATCACGAATAAACACATTAAAAGGTGCTGCTCCCAACACGGATCTCTGTCAGACCCCCCTTTGAATATCCCTCCCGCTGTCTTTTTGAAGTCCAGAGCCAAACTCTCTTGATTCTTCATCCCCCCAATTTGCTGAAAAAGTCTAGGTTAGTGAGAGACGGTTTAGCCGTTTAGGCTCTTTTTCTGCAAGCCCAGTTTCCTCTAGGCTTGATTACTCTCTGCCTAGTTGTACTTTCTGCATCTCGTCTGAGACCAGGTAAGGCTAACGGGGGAGGAAGGGGGCATCGGGGTCTCCTGTCTCTCTCGAGGGGATCCTGCCTTTCCTGACCCAGCCTCAGCCCCAGCACAGCCGCTTGCCTCGGCCTGGGAGCTGTCCTGGCACCTGCCTTGCTTCTGGATGTCCAGCGCAGGAGGAGCAAACCTCTTTTGGCAGGTCATGCTTCTGCCACTGCATGCCAGAGAGCCCAGATTATTGGGGGGGGGGGACCATTTCCCTGTCTCTGGCCCCAGATGATTAACGCTGCCAAACAAGGCAGGCTCCAGGGACCAAGAACGAGACTCCACATCTTTGTGCCCCCAAGCCAGCCAGGGTCTCTGGCGATGACAAGCGAGCGAGGCCTTCTCGTGCGTGTCTTTCAGGGTGGGGGGAGAGGGATCCACCCCCAGCTTTGCACATCTTAAGGCTCTCCCACCCCTGCCGGGGACTTGCTGGGGTCCTTTGCAAAGCAGCGCTTGCTTGGAGCCCCCCTGGCCAAGCCCCGGGCAGCTTTGACCATGAGTCAAAGGCAGGGAGGGCCCCCGGTGGCCCCCCGCCTCCTTGAGCTGCTCCCCACAGGCGGAACTGAGCACCTCAGGGAGGGCTGCGTGGGGGACACCTGAAGCCCAGAGGAAGGCAGACCTCAGTGGCTCCCAAAGTGTCAGAGCAGCGTGGCAAAGGAGCCCTTGCCAGAGGGGAGGCTCTGGGTAGCCGTTCGGCTCTGGGGTGCTTCTGCACTGAGTGGGGGTGGCCTGGATGTCCTCAAGAGTCCCTTCTGACTCGGGGGTTCAGCTTGGTCAGGCACTCCTGGGGTGCCCAGAAGCCTTGGCGGCATTGGAGGCTCTGGCTGGGTGCTTCTGTGAATGGGACCACGGTGTGGGGGGGGGGGTCATTGGAATGTGGGATTTCAGGGGCATCCTGAGCCCTCGGCCAGAAAAGGAAGGGAGCACCCACCTTCTCTCCCACGAGAAAGCCACAAAACTAACTGGGCACGGGGTGGTTTCCAGGAAAGAACCTGGGGCTGATCGCCAAGCGCCTTTCCTTTCCTAACGGTCTCGTGCACCCACGTTGCTAACGAGGCTCTTGACTCAGTAACGGGCGTGCTCTTGGGGGGGCCCTGGCATGTTTCCTCTGAACCTTCCCTTCCCGGGTCCGGGCATCCAGCCTGGCGCTACCTCTGGAAGTGGGGTCGGGGCTCGGTGGGGGGATACAAGATGGAGCGCAGGAGCCAAGAAGGGCTGCTGGGGGCCAGAAGAGGCGGACAGAGGCTCCAGGGGCTCAACTTGCCCCACCATCCCTGCTCAGGTGTTCCTGCCCAGTGCTGTTAAATGTGTTGCCTGCCAGCCAGGACACCTTCAGGTGAGGAAGCAAGCAGGCTCTTGCTGCTGGGCTGCTCCTGCTCCTGCTCCTGCTCCTGGGCTCTCTCTTCCCCAGGACTCTTCCTCACCCCCCCGCTCCCCGCTCGAGAGGCCTTCGTCCAGACGGATGCGCTGGGGGCTTCGGTCTCCCAGCTCTCTGCGGTCTACCTTAAGAGCTGCCTTGCCAGAAGAGACCAAGGGGGTCCAACACTTCCAACAGTGGCCAGCCAAAATCTTCCGTCGCACTGAAAGGCAGGAAAGGGACATATTCCGCAGTACGGTGTGCAGTTGCCAGGCACGCTGCCACTATGCACCAGGGTTCGATTTCTGTGGTGGCTAGTGGCCCAGATCCCCTTGGGGCTGCTTCAGAGGCTGTTCTTGGCCTGCACGCTCTGGTGATTTCACTCTCTGGGCAGATTTCCACCAGTCTTCCCCAAACTGGGGATCTGGTTAGCTGTGACTGGCGGCAAACACGTCCACGAGCAAGAAAATGGGACACCACTCTTTCACAAGGGTGCAATACGCATCTCTGCCATCCGTGTCTCCAACTTCACGGAACCCCTTCCCTGCCCACGGAGAGCAGCCCCATCCTCTGCTGCGAGACGGGGGCTCAGGCGACACCCAGCAGCATCTGTAGGTGCCCTATGGGCCAGAGCGGGAGAGCTGAGCGAGAGGGCGGGGGCGGTGGGAGGGTTGCCGGGCCTCCAAGGCACCTCACGCGGGGAAGTCAAAGACTTCCTGGCAGACGCACTGGCAGAGGCTGTAGAGGATGCAGAGGAGGAGGGTGGAGGGCACCAGGCTGACCAAGACGAGGCCCAGGTTGGGGCGCTCCACAAGCAGGAGGTAGATGCCCAAAGGCAAGGAACTGAAGTACACCAGGCCGAGGAGGCCGAGGAAGAATCGGGGGACGGCCCGCCAGGTGCTGCACGACTGGCACACGGGCAGCGAGCCGTGGCAGGGCAAGGAGGCCAGGCTGGGCGGGCGGTAGAAGCGCATCACGTCCACTATCCCCAGCCCGTCGGGGGCTGCCGCATCCTCCGGCACCTCCAGCAGCGTGATGACCAGGCAGTCCGAGGAGCGCTGCTTGCCGTCTGCGAAGGGCTCCAGGATGCTCGGGCACAGGAGCACCTCTGGGGACAGTGGGGAGCCGCCTTGCCTGCAGAGCAGCGCCAGCACCCGGCCGTTGTCAGGCAGCTGCCCCACGTCTTCGTCTGGCACGGGCGTCTCCTGCCGGCAGAAGGGGCAGCTGAGGTTCACAGGGGACTTGCCAATGTCCGCCATCCTGCGCAGGCACCTGGCGCACACCTGGTGGTGGCAGCTGAGCAGCTTGGGCCGCCGGGCGCGCCAGTCAAAACTCTCGCAGCAGATGCTGCACTCCGTCTCGTGGGCGGCGAAGCCCAGCGGCTGGGCGCTGTCTCCCTTGCCCTTTGGGAGGGACATGGCAGCCCCCGAAAGGAGGACGACGTCTGAAGGGGACAAAAAGCAAAGGCCTTTAGAAGCCAGGTTTCTGCACTGGAGGAAGTGGGAGGAAGGCCAAGCGCAGCAAGGCGTTCCTTAAACAAACTGAGCCCTGCTTCCACAGCCACGGGCAGAGCCAAGTCCTTCCAGAGCCAGTCACGCCAGGCACCCTGCCCCCCCAGCACAGCAACCGGTCCTTTGGTGTCCCCAGTCACAGGATGTGGCACACCAGGAACCAGCAGAGTCAACCGACCTGCTGCCTCCAAGGGGCAGGATGTCCTCAGGGCCACTGCTGGGTCCTGGGACCGTGGACAGCGAGGGGAGGCGGAGGGCGAGGGAGGAGCCCCCTCCCCAGAGCTAACCCGGGGCACACCTGGCTTGTGGCATATATCTGAGCCCCCTCCCCCCCAGCTCTGCAGGAAGGAGGGAGGGGTCAGACTCGCCTGCAGAAGGAAGCAGGGCTGGACGGGGGAAAGCTGGCTGGTCTGATGGTACTCACTGGCCAGCCCGGGCACCCTCACGGCTGCCAGCAGCAGCTCGGCAGGAGCACCCCTTTCCTTTGCCCCCTCCGCA